GTGCCATTCTACATTATTACAAATAACTTCATTTCTTGACATTCAAGGTTTGATTTCTTTGTATGTATGGATCACTTGGGTTGTTACCGACATCTGAAAATTTCATGTCATTAGCACCTCTAGTAATATATTTACTGAGAAAAATGGTGACGTGTTCAATTCTTATTTTACCTGCTGTATATGTACATTACTATATATCACATGTGTATATTGTGGGGTTGTTTTGGTTTATCTTTTATTTATTTTTCATTATTCTTCTCAGCTTCTCCTGTATTGAGCTGCAGTAATGTGCAAATTTCCCCACTGTGGGATCAAAAAAGTTTTATTTTATCTTTTCTCGTGTAGTTGTTTGTTTACCAACAGAAAGAGCCAAAGTGACTGAAAATAGGTCATGAAAAGCACAAATATGTTGATGTCTTGGCACACATTTATGCCCAAATGTGGCATAAAAGATGCAGACAAAAAAGCTTTGTTTGCATTGAGTGTGGACCCACTTTTTGGAATGATCATATCTAAAGTAAAGTCCCAAACTGCACCTTTTGAAATTAAAGTTCAGAATAGCTTTTTATTATTTGCATTGAAAAGCTCTAATTTAGAGACTATTTTGTTCGTTAGTTTTTATTCTGAAGGAGTTCTTGTTTTATTTTCAGGTCCAAATCACAACATGAAGGATCTCTGCTGCCTCATGTCACCCAGTGACCGGGGTTCACCTGCCATGTCTGAACCCATAACCGAGGCCAGCGATGAAACTGACAGGAAAACAGCCGATGGCAGCATCACAGATGACAACGAGGATGCTCTGAACACCACTGATGCTCGGTCTGGTCCATCTGCTGGGTCTGAGCAGACCTCCACCAGGAAGAAGAAGACCCGCACCGTGTTCAGCCGCAGCCAGGTGTTTCAGCTGGAGTCCACCTTCGATGTGAAGCGGTACCTGAGCAGCTCGGAGAGGGCCGGTTTGGCAGCATCGCTGCACCTGACGGAGACTCAGGTCAAGATCTGGTTTCAGAACCGGAGGAACAAGTGGAAGAGACAGCTGGTTGTGGATCTCGAGGCTGCACATGTCCCAAACTCAGCCCAGCGGATTGTCCGGGTGCCCATTCTGTACCATGAGGGGTCTGTACCCACTGCAGTGGGCTTTAACTTAAATGGGCACCCAGTGTCTCCCTCTGTCGTGGGCCTCTCAGGGTCCATCAGCTACCCTCTGTCATCGTTTGCTCACTCTATGAGCCTGTTAAGATCTCAGATGAGCAGCTTGGTGTGAAAACTGCAGACTGATGTCTAAAACTGCGTTATTAACAGGAATTCACTCAGTTAAAATTAATTGTGCAATAACCCCCAAACTGCTGCCTGTATCCAAAGACACAAGATGAAGAATCAAATGTTTGAAAGCAATTATCTTTATATTTATGTTGATAAAACTGTAAGTGTGTTCATTAGAATCACAATCCAGAGGGAGGGAAAAGGAGGCTGGAGCCGTTCACTGTATGTTTGATACACACATATTTTTGCTAACTTTTATATTTAAAGCCACAAATTTTTTTCAAATTTGTCACTATTTTCACAAAATAAAACTAATAAAAATATCAATCACCAAACCTTCTGTCTCTTTGTTCATACGCTCACGTTATTTGTTAATCATTATATGGATTTAGTACGCTTATTCTGAAATGTGTTTTGCTAATTGAAGTTTAAACCTTTACAAACTTGTTGAACTTTTTCTTTCTTTCTTGTCATTTTGCACAATATGCTCAAATTCAAAGTTATAACATTAAAGACAATAAGGTCAAATTGTGCAGAGGGGTTATTTACTTAAATATTCATTCTAATTACTAATAAATTTGATTGGTGATTGAGAAATAGGTAAATTAGTTGTTTGGTTTTAGACTTTTTTGTTCTTCTCAGAAAAAAATCACGTTTATGATTATTTTTACTCAAAAATGTACAAAACGGTTTTTCCCAAGACTAAAGGGAAATAAAACTGATACAGATTATTTCCGTACATCTTTGTTTGTTGATCATTCAATATGTTTAACTTTTTAAACAATGCTAACTCTGAATGAGAACAAGAAGACAGGACATTGAAACAAAACTGCACAAAGACTTTAATTTATGTGTGCGCTTGTATTTATTATTTAATTTACTTTGTCCTGCATCAAACAAACAAAATTATATATAAAAAAGCCAAATATAAAATTTAAAGACTGTTATTGAGAAATAGATGGAAAATAAATACAATGTTGAAAATAATCAGAGATATTAATTAGCTGGAGACTTTGGTAACAATGTCTGTGTCACAAAGTTTGTTTAGTTTCTTGTTATTTTGAGCAATTTGGTCAGAAAAACAAATGTGAGCTAAAATAAATAAAAAAAAAAACAAGCAATAAAATGATCGTCATGTTGTGTTGTGAAACACAAACCTGCAGCAAAAATGTAATAAAACATAAAAGTAATTTATTTGTATTATTCATAAAGGCTTTTTGCAGGATTCAAACCGCTGTTCTCACTGAAAAATGTGAAGTGTGTGAGTGAGATGGAGAACACTTTCCTGTCCTCCCTTCTCATCTTGCCTTCCTATTGGTCCACTTTGTCAGCCAATGAGTAGCGACCAAACGCTCTGTCCGGTGTGTGTATGTGTGTGTGTTTGTGTGTCCTAACAGAGCAGGCAGACCATCAGTGGAGTGGACCCAGAGGCTGTGGATATGGTTCGTGGACTCTCCAAACGGTAAGGGAGAGATCATCACCCTGCTCCTCTGTTCAAGGCAAACAAAGCTGACAAAAAGAGGAGATCTTTACGCGCGCGAGAATATGAACAAAGTCGAAGCATCATGTCGACCCGCCGCGTCTCTGAAATTCACCATTGACAACATCCTGAACTTAAAGAGAACCGGAACCAGCTGCGGGAGTTCTCGTCCCGCCGGGGAGCAGGATGAGGAGGCCACGGCGACCGACGGTGTCCAGAGCTACAGGGGGGAGAGGAGACCCCCAGAGAGGCCGGAGCCCGGCACCAGGCTCAGCCAAACAGGTGAGGGGGGTTTCATGGGGTTTATTAATCAGACCTCTGATAATATTAGGTTTTATATTTGCATATTAGTCATAAAGTCTAAAACTTAACCCAACAATTCTTCAAATTCTTTATTTATGTGAAAAATAAATATTATTAATAATAAAAAAAATCAGTGCGTGTTTTTTTTATCAAATATTTTGCTCTAGTGGACATAAATATGGATTTAGAGGACATGTTTGTTATTTGGGTCAGAATTTCTAGTTGTTAAATTTTACTTCCGGCTCTAATGACACTTTTCAAACACATTTTGTCAAATATGGCTGCGTGAAAACTTTTAACCACCTTTAGAGAAATTATAAGTTTTGCTGTTTCCCTCCTGTCCTCCTTCCAGCTGTAAGTTACACACTATGACCCTGTATTTGTTCTTCCTTGGATTTTGTCCCCCGGTCTGTTTTTGTTATTGATGCATTTCTCTTCTGCAACAAACATTAAACCCATAAGAATAAAAAAAAAAAACACACACACAATGTGCGGAAGCAGAGGCCACACCTATCTTTTGATGTCGTAGATCAACTTCCAGTCTGATGCTGACCTTACACCTCCTGTGATATTGCTTCAGTTATTTGTGGCCTTTTGGTAATATATTTCAGAACCAGCGCACTGACAGTCTAACTCATCCCCACTCGTAGCTTTTAATGAATAATATCCAAGAAGTGAAAAGTGATGATGTCCCAAATTACCTGAACCCTCCTCACCTGTCAGCCCGGCTCATCTGACGCTACAGAGCCAAACTTAACGACTCCAAACTTTTCTAACTGTTAACAAAAACGTGGTGTTTTCACAGAGCTGATGACGAACTGCAGCGGAGCCGCAGAGCCGGTGATCATCGGCCGCGGGAAGCGGCGGGACGCGGCGGAGACGCGCTTCGACAGCGGAGACAGCAGCTGCGACGACGCCGGCTCGCCCGCCGCAGCCTCGGACCCCCGCAACGACGGGAGCCCCGCCAAGAAGAGCAAAGCGGTCACGAAAAAGAAGACGCGCACCATTTTCTCCAAGAGACAGATCTTCCAGCTGGAGTCCACCTTCGACATGAAACGGTACCTGAGCAGCGCAGAGCGCGCGTGCCTCGCCAGCTCCCTGCAGCTCACAGAGACCCAGGTCAAAATCTGGTTCCAGAACCGACGGAATAAGTTGAAACGACAGATCTCCACAGAAATGGACGGACCGGTTAGTGACTTTTCTGAGAGCGGGAAGGCCGTGGCGGTGGGGCAGCTGCCGGCCTTGTACAAGGAGAGCAACCTGCTGGGCAGATGCCTGGTGCCCGTGCCGCTGCCGGTGGTGTACCCGGGGGGCGGCGCGCCTTACCTCTGCTTCTCCAGCGCCAGCAAGTACTTCAGCCTGTACGAGGGGGACGTATGATGCTCCGAACCTTTGGGGGACACTTTTGATGATTTGTTGCCAAGTTTTGAGCATTTAAAATGTTGTTTGATGGCGCAGCCAGACGTTTTTTATGAAGACTGCAGAAACTTTGGCAGAGAAAGAACTTCCTTTTCCTAACAGGCAAACTCAGTTTTATTTATTTTCATTTCAAGTTATGGGTTTTAAGTAGGCCGGACATTAAACCTATGGTTACACCTTTTGTAGAAAACAGGCACAAATGAAACCACAGGAAGGCCTCAAACATCATTTACATGTTTACCTTATTTCTAGCATTTTAATATTATTTTATCTTGAACATCAGCCTAAGCCACCAAAGAAATTACCATAGCCTATCTGCATGCTTTTCTGTATCATTTTTATCATTGTAATTATGTATTTAAATGAATGTAATTAACATTTATTTTTGTTTCACGCATGTTTTATTTTGAGTATCTTACTTTTCTTATTCCACTTTGCCAAGAGGCACATTACACCTTTTACTCAAACTGTAATTAAAACAGCTTTTAAAAAGGCTTTTACAGAATTGATTCAGTATTTTTGAGAAAAAAATAAAAGTTTCTCAGAAAATTTCTTTTTATTACACTAAATGACAAATGGACTCAGTGTATGTTTTTGTTTTTATTTTTTAAATACAAGTCCTGATAGCTTGTGTTAGTTGCAGCTTGTTGCATCCTTTTAAAAACACAGGAGATACCAACAAATCTATGAACAGGTAATAGAGACCTGAAAAAAATATTTTGAGAGATAGTTAGAAAAAGTTTGAGTGGCAGAAAAATCTCATAAGGGCTCCTTTGTCATGCCTGCAACGCTCCAGGCCTCAGAAACAGCCTAGTAAAACTCAGTGTTCTGAATTATGATCAAAAACACATTTTTTGTATAAAAAGTAACACATTTTTTGTATAAAAAGTGTAAAGTTTGATCCGATTTCTAAAGTCTTTGAGGCTAAACAATCTGAAGATAATTTATTCTGGTATACATTGATCCAATCTAGGAAAAACATGAACAGATCAGTGATTAATTGTAATAAAAGTTTAAATATTCTAACGAAACACTATTTTATCTCAGGGAAAATACTGTTACTTAAAAGTAAATTTAAAAGTGTCAAATTTCACATTAATGCCAAGATGGTTCCACATTAAGACAAGAGATGAGACTCATTTCCTCCTAAACTTCTCTGTAAATGCGTCTGGATGCAGCAATTATCTCTGCATGTATGAATAATGCAACATGCCAGAAGAGCAATGTGAGATTAATTCTTTACCTGCGCTTAGGAAATGAGTATTATGGGAAATACTCATTCATGCAGGGAGCGGCTGGCCGACGCAGACACGAGGTTTGACTCAGAGGAGAAAGTATTTAAATCACCCTGCTCAGTGGTCAGTCTTTATCCTAAAACCACAGAATCAGCACGAACTCAACATCAAACTAAACAAGTCTTTATATGTAACATGACAAAACATCTCTTCACATTATCTGGTTTGTGTAACAATAAATTATTAGAGGAATGATTTGTATTGTATAGGCAAATTAAGTCAATTTGACTGCTAATTTTGTAAGTAAAAAATACTCTATCAACTTGATAGTTAAATGTTTTTTGGTTCATTTTTCTTAAGAAATTAAAACAAAACAGAAACAAGAAACACCCTTGAGCACTTTATTCCACTTATTTTCTTTTAGAGCTTTTCATTAGCCTCCTCTTTGATGTTTTTTTTTTGTTTTCTTTGTTAAAACTCTTAAGTTTTTTTTCCAACAATTTATTCATATGTGCAGGAAATCATTTTAATTTTAACTTGAAAAACAGGTTCTCTAAGTAAATAAAAATAAGAGAGCAAAATTAAGAAAATAAAACAGTTGTAATTATGTTAAAAACTTCATCTGGTCAAATTAATCATTGTTCAAAGATAAAAAAAAGATGCTGCTTTGTAACTTCTTCCGTGCATTTATCAGGTTTAAAGTAGCTGATGTTATCAGTATTAACCTTTGACCTTATTGACCTAGTTCAACACAACTTGACCTTTAACACTTGTACCTTTTAACCTTTACATCTTTGACAGGAGATAAGTGAATATACTGCAGATCAATCAATCAATCAATCAATCAATCAATCAATCAATCAATCAATCAATCAATCAATCAATCAATCAAACATATTTTATTTGGAACATAATAGCAGTATGAAGTAACAGCCATACTTGAACATATCTAAGCAGAGAATGCAAGATACGCATCAATAGTCTTAACATGTTTGAAAAGGAGCAGGAAGAAGTAAAAAAATACTTTTTAAGATACTGTAATATTGTAATAAACCTGACTTAGTGGATTACCATGAAAATAAGATTCGATTTATGAACATAAAGGAATTTATTGTAACAGAACTACAAATATGCACAGTATTTGTTCATTAATAATCAACTATCAGATGAGTAAAAATAAAAATAATAAACACTTAGAGGTGTTAGCATGTCTTACTGTGCGTGCGATTGAAAGACAAAGTGCTGTAGTTCATATAAAGAAAAGAGGCCAGTCATGTCCTGCAGATGGTCTCATATTTCAGAGCTGCAAGTAAAAGTCCCACCACTGCTCACTACCCACAATCCCCAGCGGCTAACTGCTCAGACACGACGGCAGACAGTCCTGACTTAAGGTGTGGCAAAACATCAGTAAGAAAGTAAAAGCGATTTTCCTGTCTTAAAAAAAATCCAGGGACGCTAAATCAACTAGGTAAAATTAGAGGCTTTAAAATCTGTCATTTAAATATGAGAAGTCTTGTACCTAAACTGGATGAATTCAAAGTAATACTTGCTCAGACACAAGCACATGTTATGGCTTTATCAGAATCATGGCTGACTCCTGCTGTACCAAATTCATTTCTTTCAGTTGAAAATGATTCATTGTATCGTAGAGACCGTACTGATAGGCTTGGAGGTGGTGTTGCAGTTTATGTTCACAAGAAATACTCACATTCTATAATAGAATTGTCAACTGAGTCTGAATCTCTGCAATTAGAAATCAAGCTTACAAATCACCTTTCAGCAACGGTTGTTGTTACATATAAACCTCCAAGTGTTAATTCAACTAAATATTTAGCGCAGCTTGCTGACATTATAAAAGGCATAAAATCAAAAGAGTTTGTGATTCTTGGTGATATCAATATGAATTGGGCTGATAAAACTTCCAAAGGCCTGAAAGCAATGTCTATAAACGTAGGGCTTCAACAGTTAATTAAAGTACCAACAAGATTTGGCAAGACATGCAATTCCATTTTGGATCTTATTTTCACAAATCGATCCTCCATATGTGGCATATCTGGAGTTATAAATACTTCAATCTGGGATCATTCACTTATTTATGTCATTAGAAAAAACCTTAAGAAACCTACAAGTCATGTGCATAATTTCATTAAAAGTATTCCAAAATCAAAGTCACCCATGTTTCATGCTGAGATTGAGAATACTAACTGGAATGAGGGTATTTCTCTGTCAAATCCAAATCGCATTTTGTCAAACTTTTATAAGTTGGAGACAATACAGGAAAAATGTATTTCAACTTGTAAAGTTCCAGTCCGGAAAAATAAAATTCCATGGTTGGATGCCTCTATAACACATCTCCTAAATTTGAAAGCTTCTTCAATGAAAACTTATAGAAAATCAAAAACTTCTGAAAATCTGTCTCGTTTAAACAGTTACCGAAATAAATGTGTTGCTGAATTATGCAAAGCCAAACAACAATATTTTAAAAATCAAATTGCTTCAGCCAGTAAGAATCCAAAAATATTATGGGAAACRATTAAGTCAGTGACAGGTGAAAGTAACAATAAAACATTTAATAACAATTCACAAATCTCAGTAAATGGACTTCTTGTTTCTGATCATGAAATAATTGCTAACTTATTTAATGAATATTGTATGTCTTCAGTAAGGACATCATTACCGGGACAAGCTAATAGTTTAAAGTTATTTAAATATCCTGACACTTCAAAGCAATTTTCATTTTCTGAAATTTCACAGAGTGATGTTTTGAATACACTCCAATCTCTAAATGGCTCCCATGCATTTGACAAATATAAGATAAATATGGATTTCATGAAAATGCATGCCAACACTTTTTTACCATTGTTTCATCATTTGCTTAATTTATGTATTGTGCAGTCTATTTTCCCTGATGCCTGGAAGTTTGCTCAGATTACTCCCATTTTTAAATCTGGTGATCCAACAGAAGTTTCAAACTTTCGGCCAATTTCTTTTCTTCCTATTTCTCTGAGTTACTTGAAAAAACATTATTTAATCAACTACTTGAGCATCTAGAAGCTAATAATATGCTAAGCAATAGCCAACATGGTTTCCGCACGTCAAGGGATTTTTGTAAAGCGTTTGACACAGTTGATCATTATACTCTCTTACAAAAGTTGATTTYTTTTCAACTTTCATCATCTGCAACACAAATGTTTTCCTCTTATTTGACTGATAGGTGTCAGGTTGTGAAACATGGAAGCTCTGTGTCCGGGTTTCTGCCCTGTTCCGTGGGAGTTCYGCAGGGTAGCATACTGGGCCCATTGCTTTTCCTATTATACATAAATGACCTTCCAAAAATATTGAAGTATTCAAATATTTTAATGTATGCTGATGATACTGTTCTTTTTTGTCTGATTTCAATATTGAATCTACTAATAGTCAGTTACAAGCAGATCTTCAGACATTTCATGGTTGGCTTCGAGATAATCTTTTGTCAATTAATGTTAAAAAACTGTGTGCATGTATTTTTCCTCACCCAGGAGACATTTCAATATAACAAATCAACTCACTTTTTTAAACAAACCCCTTGATATTGTCACTACCTACAAATATCTTGGAATTACTTTGGATTCTCATTTGACTTATCGTGATCATGTACAAGTCTTAACCACTAAGTTGAAACAGAAATTATACTTTTATTCAAAAATTAGATCCAATCTGACACCTTCTGTTTCAAATATCTATCTTCATGCCATTATACTCTCAACCATGTCGTACTGTTTACCTGTTTGGTTTCTTACAACAAATAAAATCTTAGAACCCATAGTTAGGCTCTACAACAGGACCTACAAAATTCATAAAAAAAACTTCCTGGTTGGACTCATCACTGTACAGTTCTTTCATTGTCTGATGCCTTGACTTTTCAGAATTATGTTTTGTATAGTGGTATTCATTTATATTTTCAGATCTTCCAAGGTGCCAATTATGGAACTCTCTGTGCATTGTTGCCCAAATCAAATTCTGGAAGTGGTCATTCAACTAGATCTGTTACAAAAGGACAACTGATATTACCAACTTTTAAAAACTGTTACGGCCAGAGGTCTTTCTTCTATGTTTATACTAAAGCATGGAATGACATTCCTCAAAACATGAAGTCCATTTCAAAACTACAGCCCTTTAAGAASAATCTTGTCTGCCATCTGCTGGACACTTTTTGTTGTGCTCATATTTAGACGTCCTATTTTGCAAATGCTGCCTGCCTGAAATTTGGTATGCTTGTTTGTCTTTGTGTCTATGGTGTATAATGATGTGATTGTGATGCTGTATTTCTGAGCGTTTTATATGCTGCAGAACAGGAACCTGCTGTAAAACAGCAATTATGCTGAGTCAGGCTTGATTTTTAATTATCTTTTCCTATTAAATAAATAAATCAAATCAAATCAAAACGCAGCATTATCCTCATTTATCTTGTTAAAGGAGAAGATCACACTATCTTAAAAAAAAAACCCACTCACAGTGGATATTCCGACTGCAGAGACTGAGGTCAGTGTTTTATGTCCCAGCCTGATTTATTTAAGTTCACACTCAGAAAAGCACTAATTCACCACAGTGCTTCTTGTAAAGAGTGCTAATTGCTTCTACAGCTCTGCTCTTTTAATTCTGTCTCTCCTTCCTCCCTTTACCATTCTTAGTGTGCTTCCCTCTCGCCTCCTGCCTTGTCATGGCTCATTATAGTAATATGTGCACTGAAGCCTGACTGTGTTGATTATGACTGAATGAAGAGGGCCGAGGAGGAGGAGGAAGAGGAGGAGGAGGAGGAAAGAGTGTTACTGGGGAGAGATGGCAAAGCACCAGTTGATGAGTAAGTGTTTGTGTTGGAAAAACTGTGATCCAGTTTATAATCTGTGCCCGGTCAGGAGGAAGGAGGTGCTGCTCCTTTCAAGGTGGAGAGCAGCTCCAAGTGTGTCGCTGCGTGAAAACTCAATGGGTGAGTGCCCCCCCCCCCCCCCACACACACACAGTTCACCCATTATTTTGACCTCTCTCAACCTCTGCTCATTATCTGAGAAAGGTCATCGTTCAAGATGATGGGACAGATCGTCTCTGAACACCTCTGAGAGCAAAGTCGTGGCTGAATCGTCGACATTTGGACACCCTCGTCTGTTCTGTCACACTGCGAGGAAATCTGAGAGCAAACACAACGCACTGCACAGTAAAAATTAAGACTATTAGTTATAGGTGGAAACTTAAATCTCATTGTCTATGTGTAACACTTAAGAACTGTTGGATGGCCTATTGATCTTTGTATTTAGACCAGCCCCTCCACCCCTCCCTCCTCTCACA